CACGATCTTGAGTAATAACATTATTAGAATGTTATTACTCTAATAACATGAAGTTGTCTTGGAAATTTCAAGATACATTAAAAATTTTTTTTTTTTAACTAAATTTAATTATGGTCATGCTTTGGTCAATTCTAAATGTTTTGCAAAAAATTTCATGAACTGTTAACAAAATTTCCCCTACTAGCTAACTGCCTCTGCCAAAACATGATGACAATGACTTGATAAAATGCTTAGTTTCTCTATCTAATACTAAATAAACCTTCAGTTTTTCAATTTAATTTATTTGTATTATTGTGCCTAAAAGTTATGACCATATAAAATTAACAGCCCCCTCGATTTGATCAATCTTTGCTCATTTAAATACTAAAATAATATTATAAGGTATTTTATTAATTTTTTTAGCAATTAAATAGTTAGAAATGGAAAAAACTTTTATAATTCGAATGTATTAAAATATGAAATGATTTTAACAAAAACAAAAAGTAAATATATTAAAAATTGTATGTTAGGCCGACTTCCATGGGTCTAACATACATACGTATTGAAATTTATAAATATATATATATATATATATATATATATATATATATATATATATATATATATATATATATATATATATATATATATATATACATATATATACATATATATACATATATATACATATATATATATATATATATATATATATATATATATATATATATATATATATATATATATATATATATATACATATATATATATATATATATATATATATATATATATATATATATATATATATATATGTATATATATATATATATATATATATATATATATATATATATATATATATATATATATATATGTATATATATATATATATATATATATATATATATATATATATATATATATATATATATATGTATATATATATAAATATACATATATATATATATTTATATACATATATATATATATATATATAAATATATATATGTATATATATATATATATATATATATATATATATATATATATATATATATATATATATATATATATATATATATTCTTTAGTTATGACTAGGAGCGTTTAAACTATTTATTTATAGAATGTAGAAATTTGTTTTGTTTTTTATTTTTTTTATCTCTCGATTGACTTTTTAACCACAATAACTGCAAATACCTATATTGCATCCATGCATATATTACATACATATTTAAATATGTACGTAATATATGCTTTAATAATTGATAAAATATACATACATCTATTATGTATGTATGTATTAATAAAAACAATCCTGCCTGCCTGTCAAAGACAAAATTAGATGTGTTTTTGTTAATTTTAATAAATTAGCAAAAATACATCTAATTTTGTCTCTGTTATAGCACTCTATTTTTAAAATACACTAACATATCATATATATATATATATATATATATATATATATATATATATATATATATATATATATATATATATATATATATATATATATATATATATATATATATATATATATATATATATATATATATATGTATGTATATATATATATCGTATAACAAGAAATGACTTTTAAAGATATATGTGTGTATATATATATATATGTATGTATATATATATATATGTATATATATATATATATATACAATATACATATATATATATATATATATATATATATATATATATATATATATATATATATATATATATATATATATATATATATATATATATATATATTGTTAATATATATATATATCTATATATATTTTAATATGGTTATATATATATATATATACATCATACATACATACATATATATATATATACACATATCTTTAAAAGTCATTTCTTGTTATACGATATATATATATATATATATATATATATATATATATATATATATATATATATATATATATATATATATATATATATATATATATATATATATATATTTATATATATATATATATATATATATATATATATATATATATATATATATATATATATATATATATATATATATATATATATATATATATATATATATATACTCACATCAATGTAATTTTGTATTGTGATTATAGGGTAGCCTAGCAACAGCTTACTAAAAGTTAATGTTAAAAATATATCTTTTAATCTTGAAAAAAAATTGAATACTAATATCAGTAAACATTCTAAGAAAGATCAACAGTTCATCTATCTGAAAAAGTTAAAATTTAAAAATTTCTACGCTCAAAATTATTTTAAAAACAATTTGAAAACGATAAACAAAACACACTAAAAAAGCTATTGCTGTAATTACATTTTATTCGTTTTTAGAGGTTTTATATTTAATTTGAAACATTTTATCGTGTACTAGAAGTTACTTTCATTATAATTTCCTTTTAATAAACGGCTAAATGCATATTTAATTGCTAAAAATTAGAAAAATAGCTCGTTGTCAATGAGAATTTTTTTTATATTCGTTATCCGTAGCCATTTTTAAAACTTTTAAAATATGCAAACTTTACTGCGCTTGCGTATAATAACTTTCCACTTATTTAGTAAGTCTGAACGACCGTGATATATATATATATATATATATATATATATATATATATATATATATATATATATATATATATATATATATATATAGGCTTGGTTGGCAAGTGGGAGCGATCGCTCTCGATTGCTGACCACGTAACTAATATTTAGTTGCGAAAAGCTGGCCAGATTTTTTAGTCGTTTTGAGAACATTTCAAAAAGCGAAAAAAAAAAAGGGCAAAAGATTAATTGGACCGATGAGAGACAATTACAAAAAAAAAAAAAAAAAAGCAAATAAAATATCTTTAAACGCGAAAAAACTTAAAGCTAAATAAATTACGTTTAGAACAAATATTTTCGAAACATCGCTCTTTTATAATTTTTTTTATAAAATTATGCGATGTTTTTTATATAAAGTAACATTTTACGATTGTTTAAAAAGGAAACAAATATTTTTTATTAAACAAAGTTTGCAAGTTTTAGTTTTATTTAAGCTAAATTATTTTATAAATAAAAAAGTTAATTTTTTTAATACTTATTTTTTCGTGTGGTTTGAAAAGTCAAACATATTTGAAGCAATGCTTCTTAGTAAGATAAACAAATGAAATAATTAAATCATTGAATTACTATAGAAATTAAATTAACAAGATAGAAATCAACTAAAAAGGTTAAAAATACTTTATGACGAGAAAGCAAAACTGATTCACAATATCGCTGATGTTTAGTGAGTGGGCTTACTAATTTTAAATATTTTTTATTAAACAAAGTTTGCAAGTTTTAGTTTTATTTAAGCTAAATTATTTTATAAATAAAAAAGTTAATTTTTTTAATACTTATTTTTTCGCGTGGTTTGAAAAGTTAAACATATTTGAAGCAATTCTTCTTAGCAAGATAAACAAATGAAATAATTAAATCAGTGAATTACTATAGAAATTAAATTAACAAGATAGAAATCAACTAAAAAGGTAAAAAATACTTTATGACGAGGAAGCGAAATTGATTCACAATATCGCTGATGTTTAGTGAGTGGGCTTTCTAATTTTAATTGGTATTTGAAGCAGAAAAAAATATAACGAATTTTTAAGAATGGCAACTGAAGCGAAAATAATTAGAGTTAGTAAACCAATATCTAGAAACTTTTCTTTAGATCTAATTATTTGCTATTTATATTTGTGTTCTGTCGTGACCTCAGGCGCGGTGCTTGTTCATCCGCGAGTTACTTTGTATGCGTTGTTTGTGTTTAGTAACCAGAAACTTCTTTTATGTTAGTTACATAATTAGTTTTATTAACTTTAACGATTATAACTTCATTGAAAACGCAATTATTTTTGTAAGCCTTTGTTTAAATCATTAAAATTGCTTTAAAAGATACATTACGATAAAAAAGATACACAAAATTACATTTACATAAAGAATACATACTTTTTAAATAAAAATAAGAATATACTAATAAAATCTATTATTTATGTTAAACTATTAGGATTTTGACAATTTAATTAATATATATTTAAAACACTTATTTTTGTAAACAAATAATATATTCTTAACACGATTTATGCTAGAAATCTCAAAACGTAACAATGCGTGAATACAATTTCTAAAACATTTAAACAGAATACTCTAGAACTTTATCTCACTTAGTCAGCGTATTTTTTGAACCAATAGAATTAGTTTGTTCGTTAATTTGGCGGGTTTTAGTGTTCGCGAATATTCTTTTTATTTTTTCGCACCAAGATGTTTGGAGAACATTCAAGTTTTTTATGTTTCCATGTATATCCGTAAAACAACTTTAATGTTCTCAAACGACTAAAAAACCTGGCAAGTTTTTCGCAGCTAAATATAATTTCCGCGATCGATTCTGCTTCCTGACCAAGCCTGTATATATATATATTATATATATATATATATATATATATATATATATATATATATATATATATATATATATATATATATATATATATACACTGCCGGCCTTAGGGGGGGGGGGGGCGAGGTTCGGCGCCGCCCAAGGGCGCCAGCAAAACTGGGGCGCCAAACGTTGTATGCAAACTTTAGCAATATAATAAATAGAAAAAATAAATCTAGGGATCGTCCATAAATTACGTAACGCAAAGTTTCACAAAAAACAAAACAAAAAAGATCAAAAGTTTTCCCTCGCACAGTCTTAATTTAAATAAACAATGAAAATAGGAAATGAAGTCAAATGAAAATCGCCGCGTAAAAGAGCCTTATATCTCCTACTCCTGTTCTTAAAATATATTTTGCTTTGCGTAGTTTATGGACGATCCCCAACCTAAATTTTTTCGATTTCGATTTTCGATTTTTTTTTAATTTTTCGAATGTTTTTTTTTTTTATAAAAATAATTTCTTTAAATAATTTATTTATTGTATTATTACACTGTTAAAAATTGTTTATGCAAAATTATTAATTTGATTAAAAGTGTTTCAATCATAGCATATATTTTGTTACTTAAAATCATTTTTTTAATTGTATCTTTCTCGGCGCCAATTATTTTGCGTTCCATTTATTTAAAGTTTAAATTTTAAACATTATTTTTGGTACGAGTTGCGAGCGCGTCGTTTATTAATTTGTAGAAGAAATTTAAAGTTGTATTTGTGATTCAAATTCAGTTTTTGTCAAGTTTTCAAATTTTGCGGTAATAAAAAGCAGGTAAGTATAAATAATGAAATTGTTTATGAATTATTAGCTTGCGAGTAATTTTTTATTTTAAAATTTTAGACAAATAGAAACTGTCAGCAGCAATCAATGGAGAGTACTCATAATAAAGAAAAAAATGTTTTTAAAACTCATAATTATAAAAAACCATCTGGTGCTCAATACAGAAAACGTAAAGCAGAAAAAGTTAATAATTTGAAGAAAAATTATAAAAAACATGAAAATTTTTTTACATCGGAAAATAGTGATTGTAAAAAAATAAAGGAAGGAGAAAATGTTGCGCATGTACTTAGTGATACATCAAACAGCGATGACGAAGACGGAATAGTGTCAGTCGGAAATGTTCACTACGATGAAAAAGATATCGATAACAAAAATGATGATGGCCAAAATGGTGATGTAAATGATCGCACCAAAGAAACAGCAATCGATTACTCAGACTGTGGTTTGTGGCCAAATCATCGCAACATTCAATTTGTTGATTATGTAATTAATATAGGTGCAATACAAGTGAATTTGGACACATATCCACGCGATAAGAAAAGACGACATTTTTCAAATGCTTTTCAAATTTTGCGGACAAAAAAGCTAGAAAAGTTATATTTTAAAATTTAATAACTCTTGTTTATATAGTTAGAGGATTTATTATATGTTTAATAAAAACATTTGTTATATTTAAAGCAGCGTTGCGTTGTCTATTTATTTAGTCACTCATTTCTATAAACCTATATCATGAAAAGTCTAAGTTTATAATTTTAATAAAAATTAATTAAAAAACTTGATGCACAATATGGATCTCTTTGCATTAAACTATATATTCCCTTTACCTCTCTTGTTCGTCATTTTAGAGCATTGGTCTCGTTGTTGCAACCTTCCCATATATACCTAGGGGCGCGTTCATAAGTTTTGCCCAACCTGTCAAAAAAGCTAAGGCCGGCGCTGTATATATATATATATATATATATATATATATATATATATATATATATATATATATATATATATATATATAGCATATTTATATGCGCACTTGCTCACTTTTTTTGCTCATCTAAGTCGATATAGGTTTTTCAGAAAACTATGAGGGAAAACATAGAATAATGCATGAAAAGGTTGCTGACCCATCCCAAAACCGTTAGGCTATGTAGCAGCACTCCACTGCGAGTCAGGCTATTTGTCAGTCGATGAATGTACTGAAGCCCCCGGCAGCAGGCTATTTCATCACACACACGTCACATTTAAAATTTTATTAACCATGTCTTTCGAAAGCGAAATCTTAAATGTTCTTTTTTTCTTGCTGACAAGTAGCTATTTTAAGTATTGTGGAGTATTAAACAAATAATTTTATAAAGAAAAAAAACCTATATAATTAAAATAACATCCAAGATAATTATTACAAGAAAAAATAATACTTACATTAATTTTTGTAAAACTTGAAGATTTATCATTGACTTTATCAAAGCATAATTTTGAATCACAGACTATCCAACTCGAAGGAATGAATTAAAGAAGTTGTTACTTAAAAAAATTCATTAAGCATATTACATAAAATAAACTATTTATACTATACCATACTTATATATACTATATATATATTTGACAACTCCCTCGAAATATTGTATAAAAATTAACCCAAAAAATAATGAGTTACATCCGTAATAAAAGTTTTTATGACCTATACATATATATTATATATTTTTATAAATAAATTTTTAATTAATAAAACAAAATTTATAGAAAAGTAAATTAGGAGAACAATTAAATTTTACCTTTTTTAAAGATTATTTAAAGATTTTTAAGGATGTTTTTTTTTTCCAAGGATATTTAAGGTTTTTAAAGAGGATTGGGAACCCTGAATATATACAACAATAATCAAAGGACTACATATTTAAACTTTATCAGCAAATATTGTTGTAGTGGATTTGTAGTGGACCTATAATAACATTTTGAGCAGTTAAATGGAGTTAAACTCATCATTAACTTAGTAAATTTTTTAAGCGGCCAGCCGATAACATTCCAACAAGTGATATAGTAGTTACTTGTGTTATCCACTTTTGGCTGCTGCCACTAATGCTCGATTAGGTATATGATGACCAAAACTGCAACCACCTACAATGCCTATATAGGCCCACTAAAATTCCTCTTTAAATGATTGCTGTGTTATCTAAATGTTAAAACTAAAAACCATAAATAATCAAAAATTCTTTCATAGAAAAAAATATCAACTCTTTTCCATCTTTTTTTTCTCATTCTAATTTGAAGTTGGATAAGTTACTAAAAAATAAATTTTATTAAATAATAAATATAAATATTGATTTTAATTATAATTATTCATTTGGAATTTTTAAAGAACAAAAAATAAAATAGCGAAACTAATTACATCTATCTTTTGAAGCTTCAAAGGATTATTTAAAGCAGATTTTGAAATGTCTGGTACAACTAATGCATTTATTCTTTTGTGTGATTTTTTTTGTGGAAAAGATTCAAATGAGTTTAAAAAAAGTAAACAAGTCGTAACAGTTGATTTATATAAGAGATAGGCGTGTAAAAAATTTCTTTATTAAACACAATTATTCCTTCATAAGTTTTATTAACGGAACACTTTTCACAAAAGTTGTAACCATTATAAGATTTTATATATTTTTTATTTATATTTTTTATAGTATAGAAAACCATTTTGTATTATTGAGTTGACTCAAAAAAAAAAATAGGTGTTTAGTTAGTGAATTAGGCTTGGTTTCACTAAAAAAAATGCCAACTATAAAAATATCAAAATAATCAAAGCAAGCTAATATTGGCCATAATTGTTTACTAGAGAATTTAAATAAAAGTAAACCATTATTTATAAAATTCAAAAATAATATGTTCTTAATACTTGCCTGTATTTCAAAATAAGAGTAATTATTAACACACTTTTTAGGAACAGTTAATAACTGTTTATCTTAAGATGCAGAGATAAAATTTTTGAAAAGAGATAAAATTTTTGAAAATACCTAGACGTGTTTTAAAAACACGTCTAGGTATTTTCAAAAATTTTTCTTGCATCTTCGCAATGTTTCAAACCTTGATTTTGCGATATTTAAAGAAGTTCATCAACTAATGTACTGGTCCGATTATTTTGAATAGCACAATCTAAAAGTTGTCAATTAAAGATATTGAATTCTAGTAAATTATCAGATAAACTCTCCTTATCATTAATAGGTTTTCCTTTTGAAAAAAATGATTCTGCATGAAATTTTGCGATGTCTAAAACTTTCAAAAGATCAGAACATGGTTCTTGATATAGTATATCAAGCATTATACTTGATATACTATATCAAGAAACAGGCATATACTTAGTATATATAGCATATCATCAAGGCCGGCGCAATAGGGGGGTGTGGGGTGTGTGACCCTACCCCCATCAATTATTTTTAGTTGGCAAATTTGACCCTTTTTGACTAGTTAGTCGGCAAATGTCAACCCTTTCAATATAGGGTAGTCGGTAATTTACATAGTTAGTCGGTAAATGTCGTCATGGTAGTCGGCAAATTTTCAAAAACGAGGACCTTTTTTTTTAATTAGTAGAAAATCCCTTAAAAAATTTTTTTTCGATTTTACACTGTATTTCATCAATAAAGTAATAAACTCATCAGAAATCAATAAATACTCATCAGAAATTTCTGATGAGTCTTTATTGATGAAACACAGTGTAAAATGAAAAAAAAATTTGTTAAGTGATTTTCTACTTATTTATAATTGCTCTGTTCTTTTAAGAACATTGAGCACTCTATTTTTTAGAAAACATTTTTAAAATTGTTTAAACACACACGCACACACGCACACACACACACACACACACACACATATATATATATATCTATGTATATATATATATATATATATATATATATATATATATATATATATATATATATATATATATATATATATATATATATATATAATTTTAGTAAATCAAAATATAACAATTTTTGTTCAGCTGTGCCCTTCTCTCCTTTACATTATTTTAGCTTTTCTGATATTTAAAAAAATAATCCATTATAGGCGTGGTACTTTTTATCATTTTTTCATCGCCTTTAATTTCAAAATTTTATATAAAGTTTTTGCTTTTTCTTTGACGATTTTATAAGATTACTCGCCATCCATGGGTTTTTTAAATTCTTTGTTTTTTATTTCAGATGATATTATTAGTAGACAGACAGTTTCAAAAATACATTTAAAATTCTTTGCAAAGTTATTAAATATCTGATTTTGATCCTTAGCTGAGAATACATTTTTCCAGAAATTCTCAAATAGTTTATCTGTTAAATTATCAAGATTTTCTTTTAGTATTGTTTCTTTTAGCGAGAAGTTATTATTTATTATCACTGTTAAATAGAATACTTCGTGCAATCTAAAAATGATCAGAAAAATCTCAGAAAATATGGATAAATTAATAAGATATGAAACTTTAAAAACTATTGATCTAAACGTAATAGTGCGTGCACAACAAGAAATTATAGAAAAGTTATTTAAAAAAATTGAGGCATTGGAGGCAAAAACAACATCTGCCCCCTCATGGGCAGACGTTGTTGTTTGTGGAAAAAAAGTGAAACACAACTATTCAACCTAAATACGTCAATTATAGAACAAAATAAACGAAAAAATAATTAAGCTAATATATATAATATTTGGTGTAACAGAATCTGATGCAACAACCGATTTGGAAAAATAAGCTAATGATTTTAATGTTGTGGAAGAGATATTTAACACAATCGGAACACAATGTTCACCTGTCTTTGTGAGAAGATTAAAAAAAAAATAGTTAGTCAAAAACCTGCTCCAATTTTAGTACGCTTTAAGGATAAAACACAAAGAAATACTATACTTGCGGCAGCAAAGGAATAACGCTCACATGAAAATTTGAAGGATATATTCACTAACCCAGATAAAACATTAGCCGAAAGAGCCTTTGATTATGCTTTAAGACAGGGAAAAAAAAGGAAAAATAACTCTCTGCAAAATACCTTTGTTTATGGTATTCGGAGGCAACAGATAGTCAAGATTAACAAACAACAATAAAAACCTGAAAATGTTATATACAAACGCAACCTCATTAAATAAAAAACTTAATAAACTTTCAGTATTAGCACAGTAAAATAAAATTGGTGTTATAATGGTAACGGAAACGTGGTTTAATGTTAAATGATAAAAAAAATTTAATTAATTGGAAAGAAATATTTGGGGATAGAAATATCAATTAGTGTTATGACAAATTTTTAGAATTATATACGGTGGCCTGTAACAAGTTTATCCCACATTCTAAAACATACGGAAAACTACGACAAGCTTGGATTACATAAAGATTAAAGAAACTAATTACTGAAAACGAACAAATATGGTCTGAGTTTATTGCATTAGGCATAAATAATTTCAAATTATTATCAAAATATAAACTTATTAAAACTAAGACTCGATATTCTATTGAATTAGTTTTGAAACAATTTGAACATGACTTAGCAAAAGTTCTAAATCAGATCCTAAGAGATTTTATGCATACGTTAACGACAAACAAAAGTATAAAAGAGTTTCGCATTGTAAGGTTTCCATATGAGACTGTGAGTAATAACTTTTATATATTACAAATTTGTTAAACACATATTTTCAATCTGTATTTTCTGAAGACGATAACAAAGCCTTACCTAGTTTTGATCCTGTTA